AGAAAATTTTTTAGATTACCGTATTTTTCGCTCTATAGGACACACCTAGTTTGGGGGGGAGGAAGCAAGAAGAAAAAAATTCTGAACCCCAGAAGCCAGAACAGCAAGAGGGATCTGGCTTCTGGGATAGCCTCTTGCTGTTCTGGCTTCGGGGACAGCCTGTAAAGCCTCCGCAGGACAGAGGGGTGAAGGCACCCCACTGCTCTGGGGAGGCTTTGCGCAGCTAACCCCGAAGCTAGAATAGTGAGACGGAGCGCTCCGTCTCACTGTTCTGGCTTCTGGGACAGCCTGTGAAGCCTCCGCAGGACAGAGGGGTGAAGGCACTCCGCTGCCCTGCGTAGGCTTTGCGCAGCCATCCCCAAGCTAGAACAGCAAGACGGAGTGCTGCACAGCGCTCTGTCTCCCTGTTCTGGCTTTGGCCTTAGCCACGCAGCCTGCATTCGCTCCATAAGACGCACACACATTTTCCCTTACTTTTTAGAAGGGAAAAAGTGCATTTTATAGAGCGAAAAATACGGTAATTATGGGCTGTGCAAATAAATACTATCGTTTGTCTTTTCTGAATCTTCCAACGTTCAGCTTTAATGGATAGCCCCAAATTTATATTTTGGAGCTCTGAAAGTGTATTTAAACTCAAATATTTTGATAAGATGATGGAAGTGGGAACTCAGGAGAGAAAGCATATTGGATTTACATCCATTTCCTATGTTTATGCAATGTAGTAAAAGAAGGATTGCAATTCCTTTTAAGTTCACAACTTTAAGTTGCAATTTTAATTAATACACAATGTAACATAAGTCATTCAATTGCCTATTATTACAATCAAGACAACTGTTTTGATTATGGGCAGATCTCTGGACTTCAAAAAAAATGTAGCATAAATGTGAGCGACAAAGATAGATGGATGTTTTAGAAGAAAATAATCCTAACTATAAGAGGTAGCAAGAAAAAGATTGGATCTTCCAAGGTTAAAAAAAACCCAGCCAAATTACTACAAAGTCTGCTGCTTACATCCTTCCAAATTTAACATTTCTCTGGCAGATGTTTACTCCCAGGAAATGACAAAAATAGACCCATTTCTAGAATCTTTTCAATAATATTTTTGGACATTCCCATGGATATTTCTTGCAAAAGTTCAAGATCCAGCTCCCTAGAGCAAGCAAGAGGCCTGTAATGTTCTCCTTGACTTGTTTTTTCCAATTCCAAGCTGAGAGATGATTTTAGGAAAATAAGCAAACCAAACAATATGGTTCCACAGCAACCACTAGCAACAATCTACTACGGACTTTGGATGCAGCCAACCTTCAGCAATAGGGCCTTGCAGGAAACCTGCCAAGGGCTTTGTGTCAGCAGTATAAAGATCAGCTAGTGATTTCATCCATCAAGAGGCCACTCAGGAAAAGCCATGCCATCATTTACACCTGGTAACAAGGCTGCAGTACATTGCTGCAACAGCCCTTCAGCCATTCAGTGCTATGTAGGTGCCTTGCTGCTTTTGAGCACTCCAGAGGTTCAACAGGACATTGTTCCTTTTGAAGCCCAGTGCAATGCTAATGGAGAGGTACTTCATGAAATGGGGAAGGACCACAGTAAATATCAACCACTAGTTTGGTTAACTGCAATGCCAGCCCAAATCTGTGGCCTCTTAACTCTGTTCTCAGAATAAGCAGGAAGACAAAGCCAATTATTTTCTCTGTTTCGCCTTCCCCATCTGTTCCACAATATAACTCACACATCTCACTATGAACAAGCAAAGTGGGGAAGCAGCTGAGTTCTGGGGACTTTCTGTGTTGCCAGAAACCTAGTGAAAGTACATGTCATGTGGAAAACTTAATTGTCCCAATTCTGTGATTTCCTCAAAAGGAAAATGCAGATGTGGGGGCTGCCAGGGAGGTTGTTATTAAACATTTGCCATAGCCAAAACAAACCAGAACAAATCATTTTGAAGAGAAGGGCAGCCTTTGAGAACATTTGTGGATGAGAAACTGTAAATTCTTCTTTACAAATGCCACCTTCACTTGCATCATTTTGGCAAATAAGTTTACCCCGGACACTGAGATTTAGCTCTGAAGGCCTTCTGGAGGTCCCATCACTGAAAGAAGTGAAGTTACAGGGAACCATGCAGAGGGCCTTCTCAGTAGTGGCGCCCACTCTGTGGAATGTCCTCGAATCAGATGTAAAGGAGATAAATACCGTAACTATACAACTTTTAGAAGACATCTGTAGGCAGCCCTGTATATGGAAGTTTTTTGTATTTGATATTATTATTATGCTTTTATATTTGTTGGAAACTGTCCAGAGCTGCTGGGACAATCCAGTCAAATGGGTGGGGTACATCAATCAATCATTTACTGACAAGTGGTGAAGAATCACACTAAAAGCAGGCTGAAGATGCCCACTTCATGGTTTGCTTCACTGAATTAGTTCACCCAAAACAAAACAGCAGCATCCTTAGTAACCCTGCTTAGGGATATAGTATGACCATCACAGTGGGGTGCAGTGCAGTCCTGCCTTCAGAAAATTTACAAGAAGTTGTATACCTAGACACCACAGAGACCCTAAAGACTTAAGGAAGTCCAGAGTATGATGACTACAAACAAGAAAAAACATTTTTGTTATGCAAAGACAAATGATTAGGCTCTGTTTATACTGTGGAACTTCCCAGGCAGGAAGCACTGGGGAAGGAAATGCAGATGATGTCCACAATCTCCATGTATTGCTTATGATCCCTGACTTCAGTAGAATGTGAACAGCAAAAGCACAATGTTTCCAGATGGCTACTTCTCTGAGAATGTGGCTGTTTGCCGCATCACCAACATCCAAGTGTTGACAGTTACCGGTAGTTACCGAGGGGGCAGTAAGTGGGTAGGGAGGCCCTCACAAATAAGGACAAAAAACAATAATACCGTCTAAATTACATTATGCAATAATGAAAAACACAACTGTGAACATTTACACAATAAGTTACATGAAGAAACAGGTAAGCAATTACTTAAGCCAAGAATAGCAAATTATGCAGGCCAACAGGAGGCTGGTCAGACAGATTTCATAAAAATGCGAGTATAAGCAGTACTTGATGTGTATACTCAGAATAAGAGTTGGTTTCCTTGCTAAGTTTATGCTTTACTTGGTTGGAACTAACATTTAGCCATATCCAAACCAATTAGAGGTCTCAAGGAGGTGATCTAGTGCTGAGACATTATGCAGCAGGAATGAGGGGAATGCTCTAACATTTTGATTTCATTAAGGCTGGTATAGCAGCTCGTTTAAACTAAGTCTGTTGCATATTTTTAAAACTGCAAACTATGTTTTGCTTGGCACTGGAAATGTGTTGCAGTGCCTTCTGTAAAAGAACAAAGGAATGGCTTATTTTTAATATCTTGAGACAGCTAAAATGGATAAATAATAGACTCTGTTCAAAGAACAAATGGTACATGCTCACCAAACTTATTGAATGAGTAATTGCGGGGTATTTATTGCATATAGAATGTGTGCATTGTAATCTTGTATCCCACATAATCTTTCCTTTTCCCTCATAAAATTAGATTAAATAGGTTTTTAAAGGTCTAAGATTCTGTGTCCCATGAGCGTAGCCAAGGGGGGGCAGTGGCCCCCAGATCAAGAAAAACAACAGAAATACTTAACAGATCATTCACGTGGGTTCTGTCCCCCCTAACAAAAGTCGTGCCCCCCCCAAAAAAATTGGCTACGCCCATGCTCCCTCCTCAGAAAAATAAATGGCAACAGTGCCAGCCTCGGGATTTAATGGGCCCTCAGGCAAGGCAGCCCACAACTAGTAGAGGAGGGATGTGCAAATTCAGCATTTTTTCATCCTTTCTTGGGTGTTCCAGGCCTGAGTGGCAGAGGCCCCTTCCCTATTTTTGCGCCCTAGCAAACAGCCGCCCTTGGGTGCCACCTTGGGGAAGAGCTCCTTTTGCTCTTGCCAGCTGCTGATAACCCGAAGGATTTAACCCCGGTCGCAGAAGCCTCCCTTTCAGGATAGGTGGGCGCTTTGCTGCCTCTCAGACAGAGCCGCGCTCCTCCATCTCCCCAGACTTTGACGTCAGGCGCCGGCCTCTCGAAGCGCTGCGGTTGCCGGCTTCAAAAGCAGCAGCAGCATCGCTATAGAAACACAGCTGCAGAAGTGGAGCGCGAGCCCGGGAACCTCGCAGTGAGCGCAGGCGGAGGACCCAGCGCGGGCGAGGAGGGGAGGCGATTTGCTCCAGGTCCTTAAGGAGCCGTGGGGAGCAGGAGCTCCCCTGGAGGGTTCTCCTTTTCTCTGACGCAGCGTTTGGGATTATGAGGGACGGCTTTGCTGAAACCCTCAGCATGGAGACTCTCTGGAGCAGGGGTCAGCAAACTTTTGCAGCAGGGGGGCCGGTCCACTGTCCCTCAGACCTTGTGGGGGGCCGGACTATATTGGGGGACGACGACGAACGAATTCCTATGCCCCACAAATAACCCAGAGTTGCATTTTAAATAAAAGCACATACTCTACTCATGTAAAAACACCAGGCAGGCCCACAAATAAGCCAGAGATGCATTTTAAATAAAAGGACACATTCTATTCATGTAAAAACACGCTGATTCCCGGACCGTCAGCGGGCTGGATTTAGAAGGCAATTGGGCCGGATCCGGCCCCCGGGCCTTAGTTTGCCTACCCATGCTCTGGAGTCTTAAAACTCCCGCGCCAATTCTCCCCTACTCCCTCACAGCTGTGTCTTTCTCTCCCGCCTTTTTGGCTCCCCCTGCATATCCCCCCCCCAACCACACACAGCCTGTCCCACGAAATGATGCCGCGCAGCTGTCGGGGAGTTGGCAGCGTGTCCGGCTGCCGCTTCCCTCAAACCTGCTGCGCTTCTTCGGTCTTACTCCGGAGGTGCCTTAATGCGGGAGAAGCGGGGGGCGGAAAGCAAGACGAGCGACAACTTCAAGGCGTGCAGGACTAGGCGCCGCCTGTTGGTCTCTTCTCTCCCCCCCCCCCGCCCTCCTAGTAAGGAGGAAATGCATGAAGGGGAGGGGAGCTGGGACCTTTCCTCTTGCTTGTTCAACAAAAAAAAGAAAGAGCAAGCCAGCAACTGGTAGCACTTCAGAGGCAGGACCTAAACTAACGCAACTCTCCCCAGCTTCCTCTCTTATGGAGCACGATTGTAGAACCAAAGGAGGCTGATGCTGTGGAGCCAAGAAAGCTGCCCGCCTGCTCGTGGGGGCGGGAGGCTCTTACTGAGCTCTAATCTTCCCAACAAAGATCGCCTGTGACTTTTTCTGGCTGCTGCTTTAAAGCTAAGGGGTGAAAAGGGGCGGGGGAGAAGACAGGCGGAGAGGAAGAGAAAACAGACAAGAAGTGAACTTTTGACAGACTGGGAAAGGGGTCGAGAGAGGAGTGCGGGTTGCTCCGAAACAGGACCCCCGAGGAACGCGGGCGAGATGGGGCTGTTTCTGGGCCCCTTGTGAGATGTGTTTGCAGGCCCCCTTTCCCGCTTTGCATCCTCTGCCTATGCAGTGGCCATGAACCGGCCGATGGACCAGGAGATGATCGAGCTGAAGAACTTGGGGCTGGAGAAGCAGCTCGACCTGACGCGGGGCCCGCGAGGCACGTCTGAACGCCCCGTCCGGCTGGAGCGGGCCAACGCCCTGAGGATTTCTCCGGGGAAAGTGCCCGAGATCTTGAGCCGCGTGCGCCAGATCCGACTCCTGGGCGGCCAGAGCGACCCCAAACTGACCGAGGAGCTGGGCGAGGGGCATGTCTTCAAGCCCTGCGCGCAAAGCCAGTCGACCTGGTGTGATCTGTGCGGGGAATTCATCTGGGGCGTGTACAAGAAGCGTCTGCAGTGCATCCGTGAGTACCGGCCTCCAGCCGCACGTGGCGGCATTTGCCAGGCCGCTTTGCATCCTCGCAGGAGGTTCTGGGAGAAGCAGGAGGGCACGGTAGCGTTCGGTTCAGGGAGCATAAATTTGAAAAGAAATGGAAGAGAAACAGGATTAATAAAAGTAAACTAAGTAGTCCAGGATGATGTAGCCCTGTCTGGCTTCCGTTACAGGTAGAAATTCAACTGGGATAGCTTCCCCATCACTTCTCTCACTGCTGAAAAAAGCTGTATACTGCTTGTCCTGCAGCTATTAAAAGTCAGTAGAGCTCTTTAATAAGAAAGGCGACAAGCCTATGGCACACAGAGGGAAAGGATAGGTAAAGGACGTATTTTGTATTGGCCCAAGGGCTGCTTGAGAAAGGTTTGCTTTGGAAAGTTTTTAAGTTTTGGAGGAATTGGGCTTTGGGGCTAAAGAAACATACATAATTATTCTGGTAGTTTGTTTGGATTTGGGTGAAAGTATGCACAGAATTTCAGCTTTAAGCAAATGGTGGAGCTTAAAGTAGACCTGAGGTCACACCCACACCATGCATTTGAAGTATATGGTTTCCCCAAATAAAACTGGGATCTATAGTTTCTTGGGAATTGTAGCTCTGTGAAGGGTGAACTACAGTTCACAATATTCTTTGAGGAAGCCATGTGCTTTAAATATATGGTTTGGATATGACCTTAGACAGTGTTCTATGCCAGTGAATGTTCTCACATACTGTATTCCCATACCATTTGAGCATGTGAAGTCCTGTGCAGATTTACAATGTGTAAAATGTGCATGCCATCATGAGTGACGGCTCTCTCAATGTCTGTTATGCTGCAGCAATGCTTGCTTAACAGTAACTGCATGAATTAAAATCTAATTCAGTAATGCCAAGCAACATGCTCATTCTTTTCTACCATTTTGATTATCTCAATCATATTTTGATTTAGGAGTAGGTATGTGCAGACCGTAGGCGAAATTGGAGTCCCCTTCTCTTTCTTCATTTGTTACTGATTAATTAACACAGGCCAGAACTACCTCTGTTTAAGAGCAACTCAGAACATCCCAAATGAATGTTTGCTACAGTCTAATCAGCAGCCCACAATCATCATATTGTGGTGGTACCATCTAAGCTCCGGCTGTATAAATTCTCACATGTACTCCGAAGAGCAGGAGTAGTTTTTAAGACTCTCAAAATTCTTTTTTAAAGGGGCACAAGATGGACTAAAAAAATAGTAAGGGGGTGGGAATGATTAGAGGTCTCAGACACCAGCAGCCTGCATTTTCCCATGCATGAAAAGGGCTTCCACAATTCTTTCACTTGTTTCTGAAACATTGTTCTACATGGACTTGAAGCTGGTGTGTGTGTGTGTGTGTGTGTGTGTGTGCGTGTGTGCTTGTGATCATCATCTGATTATCTGCAGCTAAACACAATAACTCCCACAATGAAAATATTGTTTGTGTTGATGTGAAATAATCCACTGTGGATGTTTAACTATAAGCATTACCATGGGTGATAACGAACATAAATATGTGAACGAACATGCTGTCACAATTGTTCCCAATTGGGGGGCTGAAGAAGACCAAAGGGGTTACGGTCCCAAATTATGACGGTTAAGGACAGCATCCAGCCAAGGAAAGCCATCAGTTCTCGTGGCATAATTGAAACTATGAATTTAGAAACTTCTCCAATGACCTGGGGCCTAGCACTAGCCAATCAACAAGTAGAACCCTGGGGAACTTCTTAAAGCTATTGCATATTGTTTATCAGAGGACATGTAGGGAAACTAGGTTAACTGAATGAGGTTTGCTTGGGTCAGAGATGACTCAGTATCTGTTTCTCCTTCCTCTCTGCCACTGAATCATTCCATGTTGAGAAAATGCATGTGGTAGTATGTGTATGTTCATGAAAGCAGGTGTGTCATGGCCATATCCAATATTATTCACTTAAATCCCCTATTTTTAAGTCCAGCAGTGAAGTCCTGTTTGGTTGGGTTGGATTCTGAGAGAAGGCTACTGGGTGCTTGGGAGACCTTTGGTGTTCTTGTCAATTGCATGTGTATTCCATTTCCTCTGCTGGCTTATAGTGCCAGAGTTGATTTATTGCTAAGGGGTGACTACTGATGCTGCATGTAAAAGGATGCTCCATCTCAAAAAGAAAACTGGGTCTTTGAAATCAGCTGGGTTCACCAGCTTCCTTTATTCCAATGGATTGGAATTCCTGCCAACCCCATTTTCCGAAAGGATAATTGTGTGATAGCAGTGCTGAATTGTGCACCAAAGTTGCATGTGTGTCACTGAAAGCCAGGGAAAGCTCTGCTACACCTTTCACTGGGGCATGCAAACAGATACAGTGGTGCCTCGGGTTAAGTACTTAATTTGTTCCGGAGGTCCGTTCTTCACCTGAAACTGTTCTTAACCTGAAGCACCACTTTAGCTAATGGGGCCTCCTCCTGCTGCCGCACCGCCGGAGCACGATTTCTGTTCTCACCCTGAAGCAAAGTTCTTAACCCGAGGTAATATTTTTGGGTCAGTAGAGTCTGTAACCTGAAGCATATGTAACCCGAGGTACCACTGTACAGTATTGTGTTTGTGTGTGTGCCTGCAGGATGCTGGACAACAGCTGTTTTATTTCTCTTGTTCTGATAGGCCAGGACCCAGATGATCCTGATTTGTGGCTGCTTATTTTAGTGACAGCCTATGTGAATATGTGAAAAACTCAGCCCTTCCTTCCCACAGTTTGTGCATGTTTGTGGAGCATCAAGGTCTGGGAAGGCTGCCCCTGCTGAATTTCTACCTGATAAGCAGCTGTTGCCGGCAGAGAGGCTCATTCCAGAAAGAAAAAAAAGATGGCATAGCTTCTGTCTTGTTAATCTATTGTACATAGTAAGTCTTCTGAGCAGGAACAGTATCATATGTGCAGTCTTCTTAGGACTTGGACTTGCTTCCACGCTTAGTCCAAGCACAAAGAATGGCTGAGAGGAATTTGATTGGCCTACCCTCAGTGTTCCCATCCTTTCAGCAACTGTAGCTGAAAGGATGTGGCTGCTCTAAACTCAGTGGGTGTGATTTGCGAAGAGCTCCTTAACTGTGCCTCATAGCAGGCTTTGTATCCCTGAGTCTACCTTTGTCTGTATCTTTGTCTCTGGCTGCCATACACCCTGAGAACTTCATTTGTTTTACCCTGGGTGTTCCAGCCAGTTTCTCAAATTGCTACCATGTCCTCTGCCTTGTGTCCTTACATTTGGTCCTCCCATAATTGACACTAACCCTGCAAGTTTGCCTGATGACTAACAGTTTTGTATAACGTCTAGCACACTGTTAATGCTGAATAATGTTTAGTAGACTTAGCAAGGAAAACTCCTGTAACAAACTTGTCGCATCCTACAAATTGTCATATAAATTGGAAGTAAAAAGAGAATTGTTACACTTTGAGCACTTAATTTTTTCTTGCACCTTTGCTAACCTTGATTGCTTTTCTTAAAAACAACAATTGATATGAGATGCAGAGGGCTAGAGACAAATTCATACAAGAATAGTGATGGCATGGAATACTTTGGAGTACTACATCCTAATTGTATAAGGCAGTCCTTCAGTCAAGAGCAGTTTTGATTCTAGAATTCAGGTAGGATTAACAGTTTGGCATTAATTGCTCCCATATAAATTAGAACTCTGGTGTTAGTGTTTCATTTTAAGTCTAATCCGTTACTGATTGCAGTTAAAGATATGTACAGTACTGAGAGAAATTATTCCAGAGTAATTAATCCAGAATAAAATAGTGCACCTTAATGAACGGGTACAAGTAGGATAATGGAAGTGCATTCTCCTAATGCCTGTAAAGCAGAGCAGATGTCACTAGAGGGTGTCAGAGTGTTTAAGTTATTTTCCCTGGAAAAGAACAGGCAAAGAGACAAATCAAAAATAAATCTAACAGTTTGCAGTGTGGAATTGGGCTTCACTGTTTTAGAATAATGAAATTGCTAAAGGCATTTCTCCTGCTGAGGAGCTTCATTTAAAAAAAATATTGAAAAATCATGGTGGCAACTCTTATACTTGCCTGTAAAAGGACTGCTTTCTACTGCTCAGTACTTGCACTGGTGCAAGACAATTGGCAACTGCTAGAACCCTGAGATAGAATTACAATTTCTCTGTGGTTTCGTCTTGTTCTTCTTCTCTGTCCTCAGCCCTGCGATGTTTGTGGCTAGTGGCAGGCCCACTGCTTGATGCTGATACTTTGGGTCAAGGCCCTAAAGTCATGCTTGGTCTAAACTCATTAAATTATATTTGCCTTCTGGCCTAAGAGACTTGAAGACACAGATTGCTTTCACTTTTCATTATTTTCTTCACTATCTTAGAGCCAAAACAGAACCACAGTTCTATTTTCAGTGGGCAGAATGTATAAAACCTAAGAGTTTACTGTTGTGCAATAAGAATATGTGCTGCTATAAATTGTGGAAAATAAAGATGGGTTTTGCAAAATATGTAGGCGAGAAAGATATTCATTCACTAATCTTTATGATTTTAGGTGGAGCCAGTTATTTTCCTGCTCTTGATCTCTGCCATTTTAGTGATTCATCAAAGAATAAATCTGCCCAGTTACTGCTCCACAGATAAAAGCAGCATTAGATATACTGAGGTAGTTAAACAGGCATATGTACTCAACAGCTGACAGACAAAGTCAGTCTAAAAATGAGTGCATGATGGTTGGTTATGGACTCTGGAGAGAGTAATGGACTCCAGAGTGATTTGCCTAAATACAGTACTAAATGCCACAACTGCCATCATCCCTGGTCCTTAGTCATGCTTGCCGGGGCTCTTGGGGGTTGTAGTTCAGCAACTTATGGAGGGCCAATAATTTCCCAGCCCTGCCCTATTAGAGCAAAAAGAATGGCTTTTTGCAGTTTGGAAAGTGATGGGATTGAAAAGTATGGGATGGGTTAATAATTAAAAAGAAGATGTATAAACACCCACAAGCAGATCAGGATGAATGGAGGATGAATACTTGCTGTACAACTGTCCTGCAAACAAATCGGAATGAATGTTCAATAAAGACCAGATATACTAATCTGACCTCCATGTGAGCTTTGTGTAATAAGAAAATCAGGAAGATTGCTCAATAAACCAGTTGTCTGGACTGTAGAGGTGTTTTGCGTTCTTTCTAGAGAAATAATTGCATTTCTCCAGCAACTTGATTGAGTGTTTGAATGCTTGGAAAGCACAGTTCCTCTGTAGCAAAAGGTGCTTGCTGCAGGAATGAAATTTGGATGGTGCTCAGCTGTTTAGTAAAAGCTGTGCTGTTTCTGCATGAAAACGACATCTGATAATTGCAGCAGACAAAAGGCTCCAATCTACACATAGCATAATCATTAATCAAGTCCTGCTTAAATTGCAGATACAGAAAGGTTTTGCATTTACAATGCTGTCTCTTATTACAACATAAAGAAATCAGGTGTTTTTTTAAGTCCCCAGGCAGAGACTGGAAATATTTCTGAGGACATGCATTCTCGCAATAAATATATGAGCATGCTTTGTTTGATTTCCAGAAATTTCTGCCATATTTTTTCCTAGTCTGTTTCCATAGTGTTGCTGAACATGTATCTTCTCTGAAAAGTGTCTTTCCATGTTATAACTGAAGACATCTTGCAAATGTGTGTGCTGGCGTCTTTTTTACTTTTTTTTTTTAAGGCAGCATACTTAGAAAGCATATTTAAAACCCCTAATCCTTCTACCATTTTTTGCTTGTGTTGCCTGATGAGGCCACAAGAAAAAAGGGGGACTTGGAGAAGGCCATTTGTGTGGCTGTTCTGTTATCTTTCTGTTTTGCCCAGTACAAGGCCATCCAGATTGTCTGAGGCCTAGGGGAGCAGGGCACTCCCTATGCTGAGGGCGACATTGTGCCTCGACACTATGTGAGTGGCATTAAGCATTCCTCTCACGTGAGCACATATCCTATGCAGCAGATTCAGTCCCTCCAAGCAGAAAATAATCAGTGCAGGCTGCCTCTTAAAATGAGGCCTTTATCCTGGCAGGCGGCAGAGTGGCTGCCAGGGAAAGGTGATGCCTTGGGACAGAGGCTCTTTCATGCCTCTTCCTTTGAAGAGAGTGGGGAGGGGAGGGGTAATTTTCTGGTCTGTCTTTCTGCCAAGAGGCTACAATGGCTATGCATTAAAGCAATGCCCTGGAGATAAGAGGCCAGCATTGCATATTAAGCGCAAAAGACAGAGAAGTTTAAAATGAAGATTCTAGAGATAGTAAAAATGGAGTGTTGACCATGATTCTGGTGTGATTAGGCAAAGGTTAGATAAGCTTTCCTTTTGTGGGGTGAGGGGAGAAGAAAGGCAAGATAGAAGCCTGCCTTAAATACAGTGGTACCTCAGTTTTCGAGCGTATTAGAAGTCAAACATTTCAGTATTCGAACGCGCCTCAGAAGTCAAACGGCTTCTACTGAGTTTTTTTCCAATTTTCTCCATTAACTTTGCAGACCACCCTTTGCGCTTCGGTTGTCGAAAGTTTCGGAAATCGAACAGTCTTCCGGAACGGATTATGTTTGGCATCCAAAGTACCACTGTACTAGCCTATCTCACAATATATTTCAGTCCTTAGAGTAAGCCTTTTCCTGAGAATTAGGAAAAAGGAGATCCTGAGCAGTTTGAGACCTAATTGACACATTGCTACTGAGATTTGAGTACCATCTCCTCCCACCCCTTCCTGCTTAATCATACCTGCAAAAGTTGTGTGATGTGCAGCAATAGCCTATTTGCTCTCCCACACACACTGGAGATCTGACATGTGCGTTTCTTTGTGCAGACTAAACCTGTGGGTTCCTTTCTTCCTGAGCTTTGTCCCCCCTTGCCTTATGGATTGTCTTCTTTTTATTTTCCTTAGACTGTAAGTTCATCTGTCATTACCGATGCCGCACCCTTATCCGGCTAGACTGCAGTGGCCCCAGATATGAAGACAGTGAACAGAATGAAGGCAACGAGCAGACAGTAGAAAAAGACACCAATGTGGTAAGAAAATAGCTGTGAGTCATATACTAGGGTTGCCATACGTCCGGAATTTCCAGGACATGCCTGGGATTTCAAGGGTGAGATCACTGTCCAGGATGATTTTTTAATTTTAAAAAAAGTCTGGAGTTGTGTTTTTTGTTTTTGGTGCGCTGAGGGCACTGGCTGAGCAGCTGTGCTGTCACGAAAGGAAGGGGTAGCCATGGCGCTGTTACTTCTAGCGGCCATGTTTACGACTCTCCTCAGCGGCCTCCAGGCTGGAGCCCCTGCAGGCCCCGCGGCCACTGAAGCACCTGGCCTGCACCACTTCTCCAGAGGCAGTGGAGGCCAGCCACAGCCTGTGGAAGGCCGGCCTGTACTGCTTTTCCAGAGGTGGCAAAGGCCAACTGCAGCCTGCGGAAGGCCGGCCTGGCTTTCCAGGAGGAGTGCCCAGGTGAAAAGAGAGCAGGAGGCCAAAGACAGCGAAGGTACGAGAGGGGATGGAATGAGGGGGCGAGCAGGGGGGCAAAGAAGGGGTCAACGGCGGGGAGGGGGTGAGCGATGGAGATGCGGGGTGGTGGTGGGGTCCTCCGAATGTGGTGGGGGATTCGGATTTTTGGTCTTTGGAATATGGCAACCCTATCATACATGGGGCTGTAATAATGCAAAGAGCTTCTTTGCACTGAAGAAAATACATCTGGAATAGCCGGAAACACTCCTTTACAAGAACTTGAATGCTCACGCAAATTGTGCCAGCCCAACCATTAGGCATTATGAGGTGACTGTCATAGGCAGCTGATATGGGGTGTAATGAAAGAGCAGCAAACATTTATGTATGTATGTATGTATGTATGTATGTATGTATGTATGTTGGAGAGATGGAGAAGTTCAAGAATAACTTGGCTGGCCTTGATACTATGAACCGTGGTTTTGGGGTAGGGGAGACACTATTTGCTGACTTGGCAAGGCGGTTTTTATGTTCATTTGTAACTTTTGTACCAAATTAACACACTAGATGTCATTTTGAGGCTGGAATAGCCAGAACTACAAACTATACTTCCTTTGTTTTTAGTGGGTGAGGAACTTCTTTTGGCTCAAGGGCTGAATTCCCTCCTGTGCAGCTTCCCAGGGGCTGTGCACCGCTGGTAGACAGGGCTTAGCAGCAAGAAGTCAGTGGGGCAATAAATGTGACTTCTCCATTGTACAGTAGGCTCCATTCCAGCCATGCAAAATTCAGGCACGGGCACACCCCTCTCCATCCAGACAAGCAAGGTGCATTATTACACTGCAAGGACACATTCCAGCCTAGCAAAAGCACTCAAGGAGGATGCAGAGCAGTGCCAGTGAAGGGCGTGGCATGTGGAGGGTATGTGGCCAAGTGAGATTTCCAAGGGTCCTGTATTTGGCCCCTGGGCCTGAAGTTCCCCACCTTTTGTTCTTGGGACTCATAGATTTGCCAGACTTGGTGCAATATTTGTCTGGTGCTCCCCAAAATGTATATAGGAATATGTCTGAAAGGATAGTGTTTGCAGACAAGCTTATTAAAATCAGGGGTCCTTTTTGATGGTTTTCAACTGATAACTAAACATGTTGCAGGTTACCCTTCAGATTGCAGCTGCCTGTAATGAGGCAGGAAGAGACACACACACAGAGTGGATTTTTGATGCAGTATACAAGTGTGAAAATCCTAAGATGTTCAGGAGCTCCCTACACTCCTGTTCCTTCACATGGCTAGGTTTTCTCTTATCTTCACTCATATTTAGCATAGCACTAGGCATATTATAAATTATGGAAGGTTTATCCCTGGCTGTCTTACCTGCTTAAGAGAATTTCGCTGCTGCCATATGTGGGAAGCCTCTGGTACCTCTCGATAAATGCAGCCATCAGCTTGCATTTTCAAAACAAGACAAGATTTAGCAGAAGAAGGGAGGGGTCCACAGATTTCATCATGGTTCTGACAGATCCAATTCCATCCTGTTATTGGCAGAGCTGCTTGCTGCAGCTGGGGCTAGATGCTGCTAACATGTCCCAGGGGCAGGGAGGGCTGAAAGGGCAGGTACTTAGAGATGCAAGGCCATCAGCCCAGCTGGCATTGCTCCTTGCCAATTAACATTTTGCCACGTGCTGGACTAAACACTTCTGCCATGGAACCACATTGCTTAGCAACAGCTTTTGCAAGCTATTCCCAGGACAGACAGAAACAGACAGGCGTGCATGTACAAGGGAATTGGGTGGGGGAGGAATCCCTGATTTTTGGCTCAAAGTTGCATCTCTTCAATGTTCTTCCATCTTGTTGACCTCTTAATACAATCATAGAGTTGGAAAGGACCTTGAGATTCATCTAGTCCAACTCCTTGCAATGCATGAATCTCAACTAAAGCATCCATGACAGATGGCAATCCAGCCTCTGCTTAATAACCTCCAATGAAGGAGAATCCATCATCTTCCAAGGGAATCCGTTCCACTGTTGAGCAGCTCTTACCATCAGAAAGTTCTCCCTGATGTTTAGTCAGAATCTTCTTTCTTGTAATTTGGCAAAGGTGTCTTAACATATATTGTTAAGAGATTTCCCTCCCTCATTTATATGTTATGACCAGAAATGCCTGGAGGTGTGCTATTCATGCTATCTGTTTAGGTCTAGAACACCAAAGGGGTGGCAAGAGATTACCAGACTTACAGAACTAAATACTTTAAGCAACAAAGATTAAAGGATCAAAAATAAAGTTAAACAAGACTAGATTAACTCATGTACTAAATATGTTATGAGGCAGTGCCCCATCAACCTGAGAGTTCTTCCGTAGTGAAAATGATCTGAGAAAGTTCCTAGGTGGAGGCCATAGGCTTGTACTTTGTTTTTTAGAATTCTGCTAAACTCAATACATAAGATATGTTCTCTACATGTGACTGTAGTGATGTCTGCACACGTGACTCTGGGAAATTTAGAATATTTCTAATCTGGCTAGTATAAGGAACATGTGATTGAATTTCTGCCTTTCTCTGTGTCTTGAAGTGGAGAATCTATGGCCCTCCAGATATTGTTGTACCCGTCACAAATCCTTGAAGGAATACCTTACTTTAGATAATCCAATGTGCAGTTTACAATCAGAGGAGAGGTCATTCTCATATACAGTACTATGAAGGTAGCATGGAAGTCCAATGTCAGAGAGGACTTTCTCTGTAAAGCAGCCTGTCTCTGGGACTCCCTGCTGGGGGAGATCAGACAGTCCTCTTCCCTGGCCATGTTCTGGTGGAATTTGAAGACCTTTTTATTTACCCATGCCTTTGAAAGAAGATAGGTAGTCACTGTAGTCTTTATAATTGTCGTTTTAGTTCTAGTCCTGTCTAGAACGAATAGGAACACTTCACTCCAAAGTCTTTGTGACAGCCATCTCTTACTATGGCAAATTTCTGTGCCCTGATAGCTGCCCACAAGGCAGAAATCCAGTAAGTTTTATTCTTCCAAGTCTAGAGATTTGCGTGAGGCTTACATGCAGAATCTCTGGCAGCTGCACATCCCTGTCCCTTGCGCGCCCCCCCAAAGTGGAGCAACCCAACCAAACAGGAAACTGCGTTTTTGGCTTTTAAATGAACACCCAATTCTTAAAATGTTTCTGCGGGACCTACGTCCGAGTAGGTTTACAAATACAGCCGACCAAACCTGCCTATCCCAGACAATATATACAGTACAGTATACTTGGAAGGAATTGCCGGGAATGCATACCGCAACCTTTGAAACTCTTCCTTTTTTGGCTTTTTTTTGTGGGGGGGGGGGAGGCTGCGTAAGGTTAAGTTGAGGGCGGCCATAGAGTGTTGCTATTCCGGGAGGACTTGAAAGGCGCGCCGAGCGGGGAGAGGAAAGCCAGTAAGCGTGACTCCACTTCCCGCGTGGCTGGCTTGGGGATGAAATCACTGCGCGGGCCGCTCCCGCAGAAGAGGGAAAGGGCGGGGCCGAGCTTTTCGCCCGCGATGGGAAGGGGGGCTTCTCCCACGTCAGCGTCCCCTCCCTCCGTCCAATGAGGCGCGCGCGTGCGGGGGCTGTATACGTTTCAATCCCAACGGCTGCCAGGAGAGGGAGGGAGAGGAGGCGTCTCCGCCTCCAAAGGGAGCTCGGGAGTCTGTTGCCACTCGAGCAGCCCTCGCCCGGCAGAAGGCGGGGAACTTCCATGAGGCGGCTCTCGGCCGGCGTGGCTTCAGTGCTTGAAAGAGGGGTTCGCAGGCGACCAACGGACGCGGGCTGCCCCTTCTAGGCGCTGTTGAGGCGTTTATTATCGTTCCCCAGTTTTTACGGAGAGAAGCCGCGCTGCTCCTCCCCAGCTCTGCCGGGTTTCTTGGGCACGCAGACGGCTTGGGTTTGTTTGGTCCGCTGGTGTGTGGCGGCGGCGGCGGGGCGGGAATCTTAGGGTCTTCTCGTGAAGAAGCAAAGGGAGCGAGAGGAAGTGGAGGAGAAGCCTAAGCTGGGCATGGGCGAGGGTGACGCGGCGGCCACCACCCCGTCCTTCGAGATGACCTGGAGCAGCACCACCAGCAGCGGCTACTGCAGCCAAGAGGACTCGGACTCCGAGCTAGAGCAGTACTTCACAGCCCGAACCTCCTTCATCCGAAAGCCCCACAAGGAGAAGAAGGTGAGGCAAGCGCCCCCCCCCCCGTCAGTCTCCAGGCGGCTCTGATGCAAAATGCGCCGCGCTATATCCCAGCTTACATCTCGCTGTGTGGACGGGATGGAATCCCACGCGGTGTTAGGATCTCCTTCCCAAGCTCCCAAATCCATAGGGGTTGGCGGGGGGAGAGGAAGGAAGGCAGGCATAGCATTTCCGACCAGCCCACTTCTGTGTCTGTCTCGCACCCCCCCCCAAAAAAAAAACACCATAAGGTTTTCCATAAACCGAAAGCGGGTGAAAGGTACCTTTGGTCAAACGCGAAACCAGCAGCGGTTAATAACAGTGAGAATGAGTTCCTGTTTGGAACTTCCCTGGAGAGCAGGCTGGAGGGTTGGGAGGAACCGAGCAGGAGAAATCCCTTCATTT